GTTGTGCCGCCGTTTGCCCCGATACTATTGGTCAATTTCACACCCGAAGCCGCGGGGCTGCATTTGACCAGCGGCTTCGCCCGATTTCCTCCGCAGTTTCGTGATCCTTAAAAAACAAGTAGATATAGAGTTGCAAGAGCTCAGAGCCCTTGCCTCCGGAAGGTGCTCCTCAGTAAGGTGGGCCTATCCCCTTTCTGGTGCTCTACCATATTACTTTTTCTGCCTGACTTCACCGCAAATGTGTAGAGCTTATCTGTTGGCCCGTCTTAATGTTCTCCCCTCTGCTATTCTTGAGGGGAGATATAAGCAAATTCCTTATTCAGTCAGGTTCTGTGGATGTAATAGAAGAGAAATAGAAACTGTTGAGCACGTACTCTTACACTGTAAATTGTTAAATGACATTCGAGTGGAATTTATAGAAGCCCCACTTAGGTTGGTAGCAGGCCAATCGGATAGAATCAAGGTACAATTTCTCCTTGCTTCATGAGATCCGGAGATCATTGAACTGACCGCTAAGTTTCTCCATGGTTTTATAAAACGGAAGAGTGACCCTGACCATATTAATGATTATTAATTTATAAGTCTAAAAACTTAAGTTTAAAAGTTTAGAATGCCAATTTATTATATGATTCAGGCATCTTTTGTATGGTCAAATCTAGCTTGTGAAGACTTGAGTTAGGCCTGACATAGCCACGACTATCTATTTTATAATTTCTTTTGGATTGTATTATTGGTAAATGCTTCTAATATTGTATGCCAATAAAAGGTATTTGAATTTAATTGAAAGGATCACAAAACTGCGGGGGAAATCGGGCGAAGCCGTGAGTCAAAACGCAGCCCCGCAGCTTTGGGTGTGAAATTGACCAGAAGTATCGGGGCAAACGGCGGCACAACATTGAGGCAGCTCTAGTGCGAAATCAGCCCATCTCTATTCACGCGGCTGCGGGGCAGGGAGTGAACCACAGGATGGTACACGGGAATCCCTGAGCACGTCTGCCTCTCTCTGGCTCAAACAGCAGCTGCTTCACCTTAATGAACTTTGACACTGGGGGTAGTCTGTTAATTAGAGAACTCAATCGAAAAAACTAAAGAATTGGGTCCATAGGACAAACAGGAGGAATGAAAAGAAGATGGCTGTTCTCTGGGTAAAGGAATCCAAAACCCAAAATGATGGGTGTGGGATAAAAATACGTAGGTTGCATAGTACAGGTCAAGTTGTGGCTTTCGAGCTCCAGATGTGGTGCCTGAGGACACCGGAAGCCATTGAGATCAACGGTCTCTTAGTGCGGCTGTGGCTGGTATGAGAACTGGATCGGCCGCCACGGATGGTTTCTACGCTCTCCTTTTATACCGAATTCTGCACGATCCTTCAGGCTGCTGAGTTCCTGTTAAGTGGAGGGGACTCTGCAAAAAACCCCGAAAAAACAGGAAAACACCCGTAAGCACATGTGTCAGGTCCTCTACCTCAATCTTTTATTATTTATTTACCAAATTTGTATCCCGCCTTTCTGCCTTTAGAAGGCTCACAATATAAAACCTATGTGATAAAACCTTGCGCTCAGCTAAGCGAGATCTGCTGGTTGTCCCTGGCCCGAGGGATGGCTGTTTAGCCTCAACCAAGACCAGGGCCTTCTCTGCCCTGGCCTCGGCCCGGTGGAACATGCTCCCGTGTGAGATCAGAGCCCTGGGGGCCCTTTTATCGTTCTGTAGGGCCTGTAAAATGGCGCTGTTCCGCCAGACCTTTGGTTGAGGGGGTGGGCGTCCAGAAAAAGAAAGATGCCCCCACCCACCCCCGCTGAAGACACCCTCTGTGTGCAGCCTGGATTAAACGAATTTTAGAGCCCAGTAACACCAGCACTAGCATAGTTTGTTTTTAAATGCTGTTTTAAGGTCTTGATTATTTATGATTGTTTTATGAAGCCAAAGGGCCCCAACAGGGTCGTGATCCGCCCTAAGCCTGTTTGCAGGGAGAGGGGGGGAATATAAATTCGAAAAACAAATAAAATAAATAAATAATTACAGGCAACAGAGCAGAATGCGCTTCAAGAAGTTGCTTTGGGAACAGCTGCCACCACAGCACAAGGATCCTCGCTGAGTGACAGCCACGTGTATGCAAGGCACTGTTTTAACACAGGCGTGTTCATTTTAAAAGGCACCCTGTTAAAACAGAGCTTCTGCTGAAATGCGGAAGAGTCCCCACCAGTGTTCCCTCTAAGCTGAGTTAATGCGAGCTAGCTCACAGGTTTTTAGCCTCCAGCTCACGGATTTTTGTCTTAGCTCAGGAAGGAGGGCTCCAGAGCAAGCTAATTTATGCAGGAGCCAAATCGCTCCCTCGCAACTTTAATGCCAGTCGCTCACAAAGTAGAGTTTTTGGTCACAAGACTCCACAGCTTAGAGGAAACACTGGATCCAACACATCACGTTCATTTACAACTGCTTTACACACACTTGATTCCGTTTCCAGAATGAATGGTTACCTGCAGAGGTTGATTCAGGGGAATCGCTGGGGATCGCCGTTCCCCCGGGTGAGGGGGGGGGACACGACGAAGCCCCGCCCCCTTCTTCCGGCCACCCCCTGCTTCCAGCCTCATTCTGTTGCAGAAGGAGGAAGAAGCAGGAGGGTAAGTTGGCGTCCTTCCCCTCTGCCTGGCCGAGGCCACTCCACGTGGCCTCCGCAAGGACTCCCAGCCCCATCCAGGAGCTTCCCCGAGGTAGCTGTGTTAGTCTGTTGCTGCAAAATACTCCAAGAGTTCAAATAGCACATTTAAGACTAACCTTTAAGACTAAGACTAACTGAGTGGTGGGTGTGGCCTTACGACACACTTCTGGTGATGTCAGGGGGTGTGGCATATGTTAATGAGTTATGCTAATGAGTCCCCCTAGCTCTTTTTCTACGAAACGACCCCTGGTTACCTGCGTTATGAATGCTACCAATGCAGAGCCCATAAAGACTGGTGGAGAAACGGAAATACCTTCTTCCCGTGCCCTTGTAGTCCTTGACACAGTGTTGTGCTGGCTACCGACCAGGTGATCACCAGTGGCCCGGAGTCATGTTTTCAGCCCCAAATCACCACCAAAGACCGCACCAGGTAGCTGATTGGGAATGGCTTTGGGCTGCAAGCAAGCAGGATGAGCTGACACTCCTCAGACATCCCCGAAGATCTTGCCAGTCACTCGCCTGTCAATCAACCGTCTCCCCATTCCCACCCCACCCAGTCTTCCTTTCTTCCATCCACCCATCGCCTCCTTCCCCTGCACGTTCATTTAAAACTGCTTTACACACACTTGATTCCGTTTCCAGAATGGATGGTTACCTGCGTTAAGAATGCTACTGATGCAGAACCCATAAAGACTGGTGGAGAAAGGAAAATCCCCTCTTTCCGGGCCCTTGTAGTCCTTGACACCATGTTGTGTTGGCTACCGACCGACCAGGTGATCACCAGTGGCCTTTGTTTGTTGTCAAAACCCAGGGCCGTTTTTTGTAGCAGGAACTTCTTTGCATGTTAGGCCACACACCCCTAATGTAGCCAATCCTAATGAGTTTCTGCTGTTGGGTGTGGCCTATTATGCTAATGAGTTCCTGCTGGGTGTGGCCAACTCGGGAGCCAGCCGGAACTCCGTTCCTGTGCGTTCCTGCCCAAAAATAGCCCTGGCCTTCCTTCCCCTGACTCCCATAATCCCTGGCTATCTTACCTTTTTGCAGTGCGTATTCAGTTGCAAAGCAACCCAAAATATTGGTTGGGTTTTTTTACATGACCAACTGCAGAAACAAATGCAGACACTGCTAGCTACTTTCTCGCAGGGGCAAACCCAAATGTTTTTGATATGACTGTTCACGTTTTTCAACAGATCTGGGGTTTTCCCCAGGGTTGCAGAAACAGCTAGTCGAGCCCTTTTGCGGGGGGCCCACTGTGTGTGTTTTTTGATCCACATGGTGAGGGCCACTCATGGGAACTGGCTGTATAACAGTGATCCAAACTACCTGGATGAACAAATTCTGGGATTATGGAAAGAGATGGGTTGGCCCTTGGTGAAGAAAGCTTGGAAATCAGATGCAGCAGTGACTGCTGTATTATTTTAAAAAGTACAAGGGATATTTAATCTCTTGTTTACACTTTTTAAATGCACAAACTATATTCGGCAACGAGCAAAAAATTCCAAGTAGAGCAAACCAACAGCTCATTAGTTTGGCAGGACTCCAGTCTTTCTTGAAGTACAGTATTATACTTTTTACTAGGAAAAAGGCCCATTGTGGAAATAAATACAACGGCCTCTAGAAAGAGGCTCTGGGCTGGTGCCCTGGCCTTGGACACTCAGTGTCAATTTGCTGTGGCGACCTCAGCAGGGTATAATGACACTGAGTCCACTATTTTCTCCAGAGGAACTGATCTCTGCTACCTAAAGAACAGTTGTAATTTTGAGTGATCTCCAGCCCTCACCTGGAGATTGGCAACGATGGTTCCCCAGAAGGGAATGGTTGGTTTGGAGGGTGGAGTCTATGGCTTTGTACCTGTCCGAGGTCCCATACCTCCTGAAACCTCACCCTCTCCAGGCTCCATCCCTCACATCTCCAGGAATTTCCCACCTGGAGTTGGCAACCCTATCTCCTTCCCAGCCAATCATCAACCTACCTTTATTTTCCCCTCACTCTTCAGCTTTCCACCCCCCACACACCTGCTCTGAAACCCTGACTGCTACGTCACATTGGCTGTCATATGGGGGCCATCTCAGAAGGATATAAGGACACAGAGTCCACCATTTTCTCCAGGGGAACTGATCTCTGCC